ACCCCCTTCACCCACCCCTCCAGGTGTGATAACCAAAAATACCTTTAGACATTGCCAATACTCCCTGAGGGAGCACATTCAGTACCAGCCTAGCCGCTAGGGTAATGCTGAGGGGACAGCCACTGGCAAAGGATTGTTTTTAACAAGCAAAGGCACAAAGTTCCAATGAGAAGCCCTCACAATCATGCTGCTCACTGGAAAACCCTGGGAATCATCTTCAGTATAACTGACGCTCTCCTGCCTCCGCCTGTCTCTCGTGTGGCAGAGGCACCAGACTCTAAAGAGGGACAAAATAAGGTAAAAAATTTTCCCATATTATCCCAATTTATTCATGCTCTAAGGACCTCTAACAAAGCCACGCTATGTCTTATTTCTCAGCATATAAATAAACATTTCTCTGGGGTCTTTATCTGACCAGCATGCTTTCATTTCCTATTAATCTGCTAAATTATAAATGCCTCTACAAATTGTATTACACCATTTTCTGGAACAAAGATGGACTGTATTTCAAAGTTTGTTTGAATAGCAATTTCTCATACACTGTCTATTTAAACTATCTATTTTAATACAGAAGCTTCTGTGCCTCCTGTTCCAGTAACCACTGCTATATCAATCTTTGAGATTCAATAGTTCCTACCCTTTGGTTTTAGCTAATTAAATCTGCCCATTAAAATTAAGCTAAGTCTTTTCATACTACTTCTCAAACACCCCTGGACTCCCATTATAACAGATGGTTAAGCAAAATATCCCTCTCCAGTCATTTCTTTCCCAGTGCAAAAAAATAATAAAAAAAGGTTACTTGCTCTTTGCTATAGGATCCTTACTTACTCAGTAGGTGTTTTCATGCAGCAATCTTCCTTCCTCATTTCCCAAGTCAGTCACTGTCAGCTGTGAGGACCACTTAAAGGTCTCTTTGCCTTTTCAATCCTTTAGTGTATTTATACTTATGAAACAGGAATTCCCTAACATTTTTCACCTATATATATCAGTTAAAGCTGTCATGGATCCACTATTTTAAGGCACTGTTAGGTACTGAGCTGTGTCCCTCTAAATTCACTTGTTGAAGTCCTACCCTCAATGTGACTGTATTTGGAGATGGGGCCCATGAAGGAGGTTGTGAAGAATAAATGAGGTAACAGGGCAGAGTCTTAATTGGATAGAGTGGTATTCTTACAACTATAGGAAGGGCCATCAGGACTTGGTTCTTTCTCCTGTTCACAAAGGAAAGGTCATGAGAACACAATGAGAAATCAGCCCTCTGCAAGTCAGAAAGAGAGGATCCTTACCAGAAAGCAACCCTGATGGCATTCTGATCTGGATTCCCTGCTTTCAGAATAATGAGAAGGTTGTTTAAAATCTGTTGTTGAAGCCACCAAGTCTTGGTGTTGCTATGGAAGTCAGAGCAAATGCAGGCATGAAATACCCACAGGAGAAAAATATCTGTCCTCTTCTGTAGAAGAAGCCATTCCTAAGCTGAACAGTGTCAGAGATGCATATTTTGTTAGATGTGGCTAATACTGACATAGATATTAGAATATACTTTATTCACTAAGCCCTTATAACTGACACTCAGAATTAGAAAAAGCTAAAAGGGCTTTCACCATTTTTTTAAAAAAGTTTGTCCATGCCTCCATGTGGCCTAGGGGATAAGTCTTAGCGCTATCACTGCTCGGGCCTGAGTTCGACCCCGGCCAGGGAGCTAAACCACATGTGATGCAGCCCCCCATCTCACTCTCTGCTCCCCTGAACAGTATATTTCACTAAATCCACCTGTTCTGCTCCCCACTGGGTCTCTGAAGAATCCTTTCACCTCCACACCAGTGACCTTCTATGCAAAAATAAATTAAAATAAAATTTAAGTCTGCAAAAACTTACATATGCCCCCAGAATCAAGACATCAAAGTGAAATACTGTAAAATAAATCAGTCATGACCTCTGCAAGTCTAGAGGCATACTATGGCCTATCCCACCTAGCAGTGAAGGTGAGTTGTGAAAAATACATTATCAGGTAAAATAATTTCTGGGCACTCTTAAAATAAACCTCTAATTCACCAGGCCTTCCATCGGGCCTGACTGCCTCTCTGCACCCACTCTGCGGAGTAGTTCTCTATGAAGTGGGATTATGTGGGCACAAGAGGGTATATGCTTAAGAAAGCACACTGCTAGAGGGGCCAAAGAACAGGAAGGAGCAAGACACTCAGATCCCTAGTGATATCATTCACAAAATTCCATTCCAGAAAGAACAACTATGTACCAAAGCACTCTTGAGATGTGGGCCTTTGGTCTGTAAATAAATACCAACTATGTACCAAAGGACTCTTAAGATGTGGGCCTCTGGTCTGTAAATAAATACCACATTTCACTGGCATTTGACACAGTTCATCATTTTATATATTTAATAATAACCCTTCCACTGGAACTTCCTTTGAGATTACAAGTGTACATGTTCACTTGTTATAGGGCAATCCAATGTGACCTGGGTTGCCTGTCTGTGGGTACTCACCTGTGCACTTAAAATTCAGTTGTACTGCAGGGCACATACAAAAAGGGTCAATAATGGGTTTATTTACAAAAGGGGAAAGAAAAACAACAACCAGGGAGGGAGGAGGAGGGAGAGAGGAAAAGAAAGAGGGAGGAGGGGGAGAGGGAGAGAGATAGAGCTTAATTAGACCATCCTACCAGTTCGCTGACTTGGAACTCTGAAAGCATACTGAAAGCTCACCAGAAGCCAATGACCAGCCACAAGGCCAAGGGCAAGAGAAAGCCCAACATGGCTCCCTCATATATATTCCCAAAAGTGGTTGCTTAGCTTCGCCCTTGGGTCCTCACAGTTCTCCCCTTGGTAGTGCTGGGAGTTGTAGTTTCAGTGACTGGAGTAGGGGGTGGAGTCCACAAAACTGGAGTAGAGGGTAGAGTCCACAAAATTCTACAGAGTTCCTTCAGGACATCCTTTCCCCCTAACACACTTACCATGCAATGTCTATGGGATTTATTCCCAAAATCCTCAAACTTACTTAGGAGCTTGCTTATATTAATCTCACAACAGTCATTTAACATGATTCTACAAAACAAATACTAAAAATAACTGCACCAATACCACATACAAGGCAGCTACCAGTTACACCGTCCCTTTTCTAAGTTATTCTGAGAAATAATTCTCAAAGCACATCCCCTCCTGACTACACAGAGTACTACACAGAGTAGTCCATAGCTCTTTTTCAGCACACCTCCTCCTTGCATCCCTTCCCCTCCCACATTCCTGCCATAGTTCACAAGACTGCCATTGCCTGCCTGACCAGAGGTCTGCAGTTAGCAAGCTGGCTGGTGTCCTATGAAGTCGCCCCAGCCCTGTTTCCTCTCCCAAGAATCCCATACTGGATGGGGGTCCACAAACTTGGTGAAATCTCCTCATGAATGTAAAACAGGAGGAAGTATCCAATATAACCAAAAACAAAAGATAAACAAATGCTATAAAACAGCCTGAATCGGGAGGATGCACAAGCTAGTCACTTAGTGAAGGCATACACAGTCCAGATGGGACTCTATGTGGACAGAGCACTAGGAACAAGGGACAAGCAGATTGTCTGCTGAGGTGATGGTGACCTCCCGTGAGCTGCCTTCATCCTAATCAACACACTCTATCTCTCCTGTGGGCTTCCAAAGTGGTTTTCTGTTCTTACTCTTCCCTTGGAGTTTTCTATATATCTTCAGACATGCTCTGCTGTTGTTTATTTTGGGGGGGGGGCCCAAAAGATACTCTTTCATTTCTCCCCCAAATGTCCCTTTCATTTCTCCCCCAAATGTCTCAATAAATGGCATGCTATCCATTCAGTTGCTTACATCAAATATCAGGGAAGATTTTTAAACACACACACACACACACACAACCTTTTTATTATGGTATTTTGTAACAGTGACAAAAATAAAGAGAACCTTTAGGGACTATCTACATTATATCAATAATATTTTATCTACTCCACACCACATCCCAGATCAAAGAAAATAATTTTTGATTTTCTATTACCCCTTAATCCCACTCAATCAACTCATAGGAAAATCTTACTATAAACCCTATTCCAAACCCAACAATTTTTCATTTTCACTAATACCAACATAACGAAAGCTACCATCATCTCAATAAACTATCACAATCACCTCTTTACTGGTTTCACTACTGCTACTTTTTCTCCTTCCTTCAACCTATTCTAAAAAGCCTCAACGATGACCTTAAAAAATTGGAAATCAGTTAAGTGTGGTTTCCTATAATATTTTGAAGAAACTCCAAATTTACGAGGCCTTACATTAGGCCTGCTGGCCTCTCTAACCTTAACTTGCAAATTGCTAGTTCAGTAGTTTAGCTTAGCCTTTCTATTACTTATAGGTGAACTTTTACTAACATGAGCAGTAATTTTGTTTCCCTTGCTCACTACAAGGACCTAGAAAAGTGCCTAGAAAGTGTTGAACACTTAAAAACACATGTTGAATGTATTAAGTCTAAAAGAGAAATAATAGGCCCTCCCTGGTGGCGCAGCAGGTTAAAGCACAGCACTAAGACGCTAAAGCCACTTCCACAGGAGTTCGATCCTTGCTTGCCTGGGAGGTGACCACATGGCTTGGCAGACCTCTCCTGACCCACCCGCTGCTCCCCTCAGCAGTGTACTTCATTGATCTGCCTGTTCTGCTCTGTCTCTGGTGAATCCTCTCACCCTCCGCATCTCTGGCCTGTATCCCAGTTCTGTATGAATAAATAAATAAATCATTTAAAAAAAAAGAGTAATAATAAAGGGAAAAGAACCCTAACACAACTATTCTTCATTTAGCCCACCTAGCTATAAAGACATTAAGTTCCTTATAAACAGGTATCTACTTAAGTATCATTTACTAAGCACAAACATGTTCTCCATCCACATTTTAAAATATCAACATAATACTGTCAGGTGTTGCCATCATTACAAAAGGGAAATGTCATGTCAAAAGTATACATAAATTTACAGACTTACAGGTTCTTGGGGTTCTGTTTCTTCCCATGTTCCCCAACCGTCATCTTCCCAATTTGTTGATTTACCTATTTTTAAAAAGTTGAAAAGTGTTTACATGAAATACAGACCTTAAAATATTTGTACAACATCTTATCTAAACATAATAGAACCAATCCCTTATATGCAATAAATGTTATATAAGTATATTTAAATGCTGATATTAAGGAAGATAACAATGGTAAATTCATTATAATGGAATTATGTAACAATAAGGTCACATTTGGCATGAATCTCCAAATTTATGTTAGTAGTGAAACTGGACATCACATTTATCCATGTTTAAATCAAACTTCAAATGACCTTAGAAAAATCTTAAGATGACAAACATTTGTTAAAACATTAACAAACTGGGCCTTCCCTGGTGGCACAATGGGTTAAAGCACAGCACTAAGAAGCTAAAGCCACTTCATCATGAATTTGATCCCCACCCCCCAGGTAATCCACATGGTGTGGCAGACCTCTCCTGACCCACCTGCTGCTCCCCTCAGCAGTGTACTTCATCAATCAGCCTGTTCTGCTCCCCACTGTCTCTGGTGAATCCTCTCACCACCCCTGCAACTCTGGCTGTACCCCAGTTCTGTATACATAAATAAATCCTTTTAAAAAAGTTAAACTAAATGTACACATGATCAAAAAAAAAAATCGCTCATGAAATTTCACCTGGATGCCTTAAAATGTGACTTTTTTCCTGGTAAGATACTGAATTTTCAAACGTGACAGGTCTACTATGCCCACCCTCTTCTGACCCTTTGGTTTCTTACACATGGGAATATTCCCTCAGACTAAAGTAAGATGTTTAACAAACCGCATCAAGCAAGGCTCACATATGTCTGGAGGTATGATCTCTTACATTATTCATGCTACTTGTTTCTAAAGACTTATCTCTGAATCTCTTACACAGAAGAGAAAAAACTACTCAGAGACAATCATTTCTAGATAGACTCTCTGTATTATCTCAAATTAATTTAAAAATCACGTGAAATTCAAACTAAGCCCCCAGAGTCAGATTATCTAAGCTCAAATCTTGGCCCCAGCACTTACTAGCTCTGAGACGAAGGACAAATCTACCCCATATCCACAAACTTCCTTAAAGCAAGGAAAATGACAGTACATATGGCAAGGCTGGTGAAAGGGTTAAATCACATAGTATACTTAAGTCCTCAGTGCCTGACAGTAAAATTTTCAATGCTAGTAATCAAGATTTAGCCATACTATAAAACAGGACCCTTCCTGTTGGCACAGTGGGTTAAGGCACAGCACTGCAAGTTAGCTGCGGTTGCCTCAGTGCAAGTTCGATCCCTGGTCCTGAAGGTGATCCACATGGCAGAACAGACTTCTCCTGTCTCGTCCACTGCTCCCCTCAGCAGTGTACTTCATCAGTCTGACTGTTCTGCTCGTCACTCAGTCTCTGGTGAATCCTCTCACTGCCCCCGTACCTCTGGCCTGCACCCCAGTTCTGTATGCATAAATCTTTTTTTAAAATACTATAAAACACAAAAACTATACTTAAAACAACAGACTTCAAAATTTCAGGGAAAGAATCAATTTAAAAGATTAAAATGAAGGCTTTATCTAAGATGCTTACAGTAGGAAGGAAGCAAATAGAACTTTCACTTACATATAAGGTTTAAAAGTTGCTAAATTCATAATCACATACAGATATAAAAAATGGTACAATCTGATAGTTGCTCTGTTAGCTTTGCAGAAATATTCTCATCTTTGGCACTTAAATACCAAGTAAATACTTCCTAATATGTCAAGCACACTACTAGGTATATATTAAGTCCTAAAATAGTACCATCATTTAATTAACACTGCAAAATTTATAGAAGATTTCCATATACATGTTAATTAAACAATTTAACAATTGCTCTGTTAAATGCTATGTACCAAAGCCTGCAGCAGGAGCTGAAGAAAATACACACTCACTCCTTGTCTTTAAAGAACTCATGACTGAGAGTAGGAGACAAATGTAACTTTAACATATAAAGATTACTGCAATCTACTACTACGGAAACTCAGATAAGGGGGTAAGGGAAATGAAAATGTACAGAGAAGGGTTCAACGAAGTCTTTTAAACTTGGCTATGAACTTTTCAAATATTCTTGAAAAGCGGCAATATGAGCAAACACAAAGATGCAACGCATATATAAGGGTTATCACCTGATAAAACTAACATGCAGTCAGCAGCTATGTGTATCCCTTAAACATCACAAACATCCTCTATCACTTCCATTTTACAGTGATAAAAATTGAGATTACAGAGAGAGTTGATACTGTGACCAAGGTCATAGAAAATAGAGAGAGTTGATACTGTGACCAAGGTCATAGAAAAATTGGGGAAGTGAGCTAAGGAGGGAAAGGGAAGAAGAGGTTATTTGAATTTAAGTCTGCCTGAGTTCCAAAGCCCATGTTCTTGTAGAGTCCACTATCCTTATCGTTCTATGGCTCATTAAGGGGGAGCAGAATACGGAATAGTGGCTCTACAGTTAAGGCCAAAGGTAAGAGAATACTTACTTTAAAATGGAAACATTCCTTTGATAATAAGATTTGAAGTTTTCCCTAACAGGGAAAATTTGTTTGTACACTAATTCAGCTAGGGAAACTCTTCATTTAGTTTTCCACTCACCCAAAACAACCCCTTTACTGTGGGTCGTAGTAACTAGGCCATCCCATATACAGTTTGAGGATGTGCACACTTATGTGACTTAGAAAGCCAAATATCTAAAAGGGCTTTTTACTCTGAAGTTCCCCAACTGAATCAGTAAGCTGCCATAAAAACAACATATTTATCAAATTACCACAATCACAGAAAGACCACGTGGAGTTGAATCAATGCATGTTAGTGACAGCTATGTGTATCATAGACATTAACTCTCTTAAGCATCACAAACATCTTGTCACTTTCATTTTACAGTGAGAAAATTGAGATTACAGAGAGAGTTGATAAATGAATAAGTCTGCTAAATAAATGAAGGTCTGTTATTCATTTATTCAACAAGTACAGAATCTTTGCTAAGTGCTGAGATACAAAAGCAAATAAACCTTCAAAGAATGTAGCATGTGCACATAACTTCTACTGAATACAATATTAAACTATGAAAAATGTGCTGTAGCTCCTCTGCACTGATATTAAAAAGTACCTGAGTCAATTCACAAATGACTTATACAATAATACTGAAGACAGCAGCAATTTGGACTTCCTACCCCGGCAAAGACCTAATACCTCTTTATGCCCCACTGAAAACAACAAGGAAAAGAAAGACCTTGAGAAATACACTTTTTTAAAAAAAGATTTATTTATTTATGCATACAGAACTGGGGTACAGGCCAGAGGGGCAGGGGTGGTGAGAGGATTCACCAGAAACATAGTGGGGAGCTGAACAGGCTGATGGACAAAGTACACTGCTGAGGGAAGCAGCAGGCGGGTCAGAAGAGGTCTGCCACGCCATGTGGTCACCTCTGGGGCAGGCGGGGATCGAACTTCTGCAGAAGTGGCTTTAGCTTCTCAGTGCTGTGCTTTAACCCGCTGCGCCACCAGGGAGGGCCCGAGAAATACACTTTTTACATGGGATATTTGTATTTTGAGGGCTTACACATATCTCCATGCCCTTTACTGAGGAGTTTCTAGTCACAAGAGGGAGAGAGAATTTAATCAGGCATCTCCCACGATTAACAGGAATATCTTTTCCAAACAAGTCAGGAATAACCATTAAAGGAAGGTGAAGCAGAACTACCATCAGCTAGATTAAAGCAATTTTTATGTTTAGTCTAGAATACTAAGTATTTATAACACTCTAAAAATGCATTCCAAATCCTGTCAATGGGAAACACTAAAAAAGGAGGTAGGGGAAAATAATCGCTAACAGGGCAGTAGTTTTGAGTTTATTTCTACACAGTACCAATGACAGAATGTCTGCAGCCTCCTAACTTCTGCTCAAGTTCATTTGATACAATTTTGCAGGCTGCTATGTGACAGTTACTGTTGGCTGTTAACAAAAAGTGCTGGGATCACAACACTATTAACAGTTATTTCTCTTACCTTCAAATGACATGGGCAGGCCAAGAACATACTTTAGAAGGAACAAGGGTGGCATATACTGAAAACTCAGCTGTAAACAATTTTACTGTCTTTCCTTCTAGCAACTTTTCAGTGAAGGAATGTGTTCTTCGATCAGTATCATTAGCAGTGTTTATTGATCATCATTAATAACGGTAACCAAAGCAGTATGTTTAACTTATATTTTAGGTAACCACAATAGTTACACAGATCAAAATTTCCTATAGACCAGGAAAATTTTAAAGTTCCAAGCTCTGGCATAACTCAAGAGGTTAATAAAGGGTATTATAGAATAAGGACACCAGGAAAGATGATTTCTACCACCACACAATCACCACACCACAGAACCACTGGCTTAATGAGCTCAGTAACACTTCTTTCAGTCCAAGGCTACACAAGTGTTTTCCCCATTTATTAAGTAACAACCACTCAACCCCCCAAAATTAGGCCTTTGTCTTTATTTTGAAGAAATGCAATTCTACAAAATTGATCATAAAATTTAGAAAACTGTATTCATATCCATTATCTTCATGAAATCATAATTACCTCCTCTACAGCAGATTCCCCCCTTTCAGATAGCCTTAAAAATCTTGACAAGACCCACAGGGACTACAATTGAGATGGAAGGAAAAAAAAAAGTAAAAATGTAAAATAAACTGTTATAAAAAAAAAGGCGAAATAGTCAACTATTGATTGAAAGAAAAAAATCTTACTGTTAATGCTAGTAAATGGGATCATAAATTACTGAGACTGAAAAAAAAATCTTGACAAGAAAGAGATTAAAATAACAAATCATAGATCATGCTCTGCGGAATACTACCTCAAAGAACTTTTCATTCCACCCAATTTGATGCTGAACAGTCTTTTCTCTTGGCCTGTTTTCATCTTTCTATTCTTTTATTCCAGTGGGCCCCTGACTTACTAGAGAGTAGTATTTAGCAGCATTATCCAAGAAATAGAATGGAA